GAAAGCAAACATTTTTGAAACACTAAAAACTTGGCTCAGAAGGAACCATATGTAAAGTTGAGGTTAAAGAAATGTGGTTGCCAAGGAGCTTAGTGCCACTGAAAACAAACTAAGTACTTCAAACAGAGACAAGGTATCTCAGAAATCAGCATAGCCTCACTCTTAGTTACTTTTCTCATTGCTAAGATGCAAAAACTGACACCCAGAATTTAAAGGAGGAAAGGTTTATTAGGCTCACAGTTTGTAGAAGTTTGTGCACATCATTGGTTGGGTCACAGCAAAAGAGAAAGAGTTCACTGCACAAAGTAAAGCAGGATCAAGGGAGTAGAGTGGACACAAGTCACACACCAGGTGACTTATATATCCCCACCATAGACTGATTCGGTAATGAACATTACACACCCAGGGTCTAGCTACCTCTCAAAAGCCCCAAAGTACATGAGGCTTTGGTGGGACACCTAGTATAATAAGCCATAATGTCCACCTATCATATGCTCAAAGTTTAAAAAGTATAAATCTGTCATTTGAGAAGCTAGCACCTGGGCTTCTGCTGAAAAAGGATTGTGAAATTGGTTCCCTAGAATTCACTGAAAAGTGTTCAGTCATTCAGGTACTTAGAGGTCTCTGCAGCCATGGTCCAAGGGACCCAGCTACTGCTCAAGCTACCTGCAGACATTGGCATCATCCACATTATGCTTGTTGTACAGGCATGCAAGAGTTGCAAGGTCATGAAGACCTCTTCACAAATTCAATAGTCTTGGAGGTCAGGCAAGGAGACCTAAGAGAACAGGGTATAAAGCTGTGTGTCTGAAACCAAAGATGCCTTGGAAACCTAAAGAAGTTGGAGATGGAAATACTTGCTGAGAAGAACTCCAGGCTGTGAGCAGAGCTAGTGCAGGAAAAGTACCATGTGGGCTGCAGTCAGTATGACCATGAATAGGGCCACCAAGGCCCTGTGGAGGTTTTGATTTTATACTTGTTATGTAGGTGGAATTACAACCTTGTATTATTTGTAGATTAATTGTACTTTAAAGAGATCTGTTTGGGTTTCAGGTTGACAAGGGGTGGGACATGACAGTTAAAGCAGTCTGTCAATTTGATTAGCTTGAGAGCCCCCCAGAGGATTAATGAAATGTACTTATAGGTGTTTTGGGGTGAGCCATGGAGGTTACACCTCTGGATCTACACTTGGTCTCTCACTCTTTTTCTGACACTGTTCCCCTGCCCTTCTTCCCAGCCACAATGAATTAAACATCTTTGTTTGCTCATATCCTTCAGCCAGGATGCTTCAGCCTTGGGGCCAGCTGAAAATGGGCTGAATCCTATAAAACCATGAATCAAATTAAATCTCTCCCCCTTTAAGTTGTAGGTGTCATGTTTTATATTCCAGCAAAGGGAAAACAGAGCAGTATATTTAGTTAACAGAAATATATGTGATTTAAACTCAAGTACACATTTTAGCAGTGGCATGATAGTGCTTTATAAAATTATATGCACCATATCTATGTTCCCATTATGAGCAAAAAAAAAAAAAAAAGCTCTGAATAAATTTAACCTGAAATTTAAAAGTTTGTAATTAATGGATATAAAAATAAGATAAATGAACAATTTTACGACAAAGTTTGGGATATTTTGATATTTTTTTAAAAGTTTATTTATGTGTGTGTGTGTGTGTGTGTGTGTGTGTGTGGCCCGCTCAGCCCACCAGGGGGCGGGGCTGGCTGGCATGTGGTGCTGGGGGATTGAACCGCGGTCCCTGTGCTTTGCTAAGCTTGTTCTAAGTAGGTGCTTTAGACCACCGAGCCATCGCACCAGCCCCATATTTTGATATTTTTAAAAGGCTTGCCAGGTATTTAAAAGGCTTAACAGGTTTTTCCTCTTTTGTAGTGCTATTGATATTCCACTGAGCTCTACCTCTAGTCATAGGAACATTTTTTTAAAGCAACGAACATATTTTATATAAAGGGTCAATGAAAAAGCAGGACTGGTTAATAATATAAGCATTTTGTTTTAATGGCAACATGAATAAAGGTGGCCAAACATTCTAATTAAAAAAAGTCTACGATCTAAATTTTTTGAAAAATTATTTATAAAGTACACATACAAAACCCATATTAAAGTAATTTATGCCGAAATTCTGAACCACTCCTTGTTTAAAAAGTACTCTCCACTTAGGTTTTGAATAAAATATTGTCCCTGATGGAAAACTATGACCAAGAAGTGAGCAACAGAGTGAACTTCATTCTCGTAAATTTGCCAAATTACTTTCTATTCTAAACTTAATTATATTTGAAACCAATAATTTCATTTGCATGAGTCATTAGCTTTCATAAGTAGCAATTTTATACAAAATCTATAAGCCATAGAATTTCTTCACTATTAGTATTTATAGATCATTAAACTTATTATAAATGGATTCTCTACGTGGAGAATTGTGGTACAAAGCTATGAACTGTTTGTGAAAATTTTAACATTTTAGTTTAGGTAAGTCAAAACATATTCTTGATTAATTATAAATTTTCACCTATAAAAATTTGCATTAAAAATTTGCATGAAGAAGTATAATGAGACTATTGATAAAATTTCTGTTTAATACTAAGAAAAGTTGGCAGAAAATCTGATATAAAAATCGTGATCATTTTCATAGCTAAGTTTTTTATTCCAACTTTTATATTTATGTTTTTCATTTGCAGTGCTGAGGTTTTTACAAGATCTTAGAAATTTAAATGCATATCAAGTCAGTGCTTATTGTGAATTTCTATTTCTGAATTTTTAGTAAATATATCAGTGAAATTTTAACTATATTCTCTTTAATAATCACATAATTGATTTTTAATAAATATGAAAGGATGTAAGAATCTCCTTAATTCTGACATTAGAAGCTAATACTTAAAAACTCTATCAAATTTACCTGTAATTTGATACTAATTATGTCTTTATTTAGCCTATGATTTAGATATGGCTAAGGCATGCTCAACATTTCTGCTTAAAAGAAAAAAAAAAGAGTTTTACAAATTTATGTAATTTAAGATGGGTACAAAATGCTTTTTGAAAAATTTGAGGTCAAATGTGAAACAGGAGAAAGAAGATTTGTAACTGACAATTACTCGTACTTTCGAAGCAGGTAGTTCAGCAATACGTGTATTTCCTGTCGACATTGCTTACCTTTCAGTAATACATCTCATACAATTTTGTTATTTTTAATCAACATTTACAGCCAAATTTTGTAGAAGGATTTAGTTTTGTGATCGTTTCCCTCAGCTCCTGCACGAAAATAGATTATTGCTAATCTATTACTAATTATTGCTAATCTATTACTGCCACTGTAACGGATACCAGATTATTAATCGACTCCAGATTATTAATCGACTTAATTTCGGCTCGCAGTTCGGGCGGCGGCCTGGCTGGGGGCTGGTGGGGAGGCGGCAGTCGCGGCGGGAGAGCGGCGGGGCCGAGCTACGCACCGCGCGGCCAGGCAGCGAGAGAGAGGCTAAGGGTCGGATTCCCACGCCCCCCTCAGCCCTGGCGGCCAGCGAGGGTCTCCTGAAATCCTCCGGCTCGTAAGCGGCACTTGGAGCTGGCGTGCGCGGCGCCGGCACTCGAGCAGGTAGCTCTGCGCTCACTGGCGAGCTCCCGGCGGCAGCGCCGCTCCGCAATGACCCGCGGCGGGCGCCCTGTGCGCGCTGCCCCTGCCTGCGCCCGGCTCCTCCCTCCTCCCCGTGCGTCCCGGCCGGCACCGACCGAGGCTCGCGCAGCTCCGTTCTGCACGGCCTTCCAGCCTGCTGCTTCCGCCCCGGAGCCCGCCGGCCTCCGAACGCATGCTCCGAAAACCAGGAGCCGAGCAAAGCTGTCCTCTTTGAGTCGCGGTGCAGGTGTCCTGTTCCAGCAGCGGAGAAGCGGCTAACGCAGACCGGGATGGCTTAGGGCGTTTTGTGGTTCTTTTCACACGGAAACATTATAGCTAAATGAGTCTTTTAAAACCACAGTGTTTTGTGATTTGCAATAGGTTTTATTGTGCTTGAATAATTCATAATAAATGAAATGATGTAAAAAACAAAACAAAACAAACAAACAAAAAAACCACAGTGTTCATCGTTTCTTCCTCCTTGCCCAGGAATGGTATAGGTCAGAGACATAGAAAGACTAGAAGAGAACAAAACAGACACAACTAACTATGCTACGGCATTTCATTCCTCTAAAGTGATGGTCTGATCTCTGGAACAGTCAAAAGCAGTAAGGCACAGACCCAGAGCCATTTTTCTGTCACCTCAGGAGGGCCCACAGCCATTTCTGTCTTCCTAATCCTGGGGACTGTGCTCTCTAGCACCCCCTTCGCCCAGGGTCTCTGTTAGTGGTCGCCAGTGAGCAGAACTTGCTGGAGAGTGCAGGGTGGAAACGAGGGAGTGGCTGAGATTTTTTCCTCAGATGTTTGCAGACAGACCGACCGAGTTTCCAGCACTTGGTTGTGAAGGACCCACTTTTCTTCACAGGGCTGATGCGAGGCTATGAAGTTGTTCGAGTGTTCAAGCAGCTCCAGGCAAGCTCCTGACGAGAACCCGCTTGGTGCTTTTGACGGGAATCTTCAGCATCAGCCCCTCCAGCCTTCCACAGCTGTTCTCAGGCCTCCACATCTGCATTCTCATCCTCAGTTTTCTCAACAATCCCGCAAGGCCCTAATTATGTTTTAGGCATTGTATATTTAGAGACATCAAGTGATTTCTCTTATACTGACTGACCCCTCGTGATGCAATGCAATTTGGTCAAAGGACTGAGAAAATATTCTGTTTATTCAATATTGTCAATGTTAAAATACAAGAAGGGCCATCTCACTATATAAACATCAAATCACATTATAAAATTAAGTTTAGATTATGTGGAACTCTGCTCTTCTCTAGCAATGACAAACAACTTAGATCATTTGACAGTTTATTGGTTTCTCTTATCTTTAAAATTTTTTTAAAGTGATGTTGACATAAACTTCAAGAGTTATCTTCTTTTTTTGTGAATTAAAATGTTTCAGGTTTTATGATCTAGGTCTGTAATCCACATACTTGGTGTCACTCAGGGATGTATTATCTGAAGTAGGAAGAAAGAAATGAAGTTATAATGAACAGTAGAAAATCCTTTAGTCCTTGTTCATTGTTCCTTCCTCTGTCCCCATGACATCGTACACAAAGCTCTTTTGGCTCTGTTTGTCACTACCTTCTGTACCGTTTTCCTAAAAATGCCATCCAATCAAAACCATACCTAAATGTCAGAACATTTGTGACTAAATAGATCCTGCAAAATATATGATCCTACCGCCGGGCATGGTAGTGCCAGCCTGTAATCCCAGTGCTGGGCTGGATGCTAAAGGCAGAAGAAACACTGCGAGTTCGAGGCCAGCCTGGGCTACAAAGTGAGTTCAAAGTCAGCCTGAAATGCAGAGTGAAACCCTGCCTCAAAAAGACCAGAAAAGGTAAAGAAAGAGCAAAAATTATGTGATCTCATCTCAGCAAAGAATTACATTTAAGAAACATCTGTATATAATAAACCCAATGACCTTTTTCTTTAGGTCCTTGGGAAAGACTGCAGATATTTACAACACATTGCAACCTTTTTTT